GATGTGATCAACCCCGTCCGATACGGACCGCAGAAGCTGGGTTTGTTAACTTCCCGGAGCACGGAAGCCGCCGGCTCCCGCGGGAGAACCCGGGGGCTGCCTTTCCCTGGATGTGGTTATAGGATTTGGGGAAATGGGAGATGGAGATAAAGGGTGCAAGACTCTGCTCTTTGCCGGGCTCCACACGCAGCAAGACCAGGCCAAAAATCAGCCTCGGGGTCCTGTTTAATTGACAAAGAGACACAAGGACGCTGGGCTCCAAGCCGGGTGATCTGGCGAGGGCACCGGGCTGAAGGCACCCAGGCGAGAGGCGGCGTGGCCCGGGGCGCCCCAGAGCTGATGAATTCATTTCCCTGTTCTAGGTCCTTGACGTTCAACGGGAGAACGGCATTCCAGTTGGCATGGGTTGCACCGGCTTCTGGGGCGGGGTATCGGCTCCCCATGAGTCCTACCCCCTCTGCTTTGGCCAGGAGCTGAGTGATGGGGCGGGGGTGGGGGGAGGTGCTGCTCCCCTCCCGCTGTGTGGCCCAGGGAGGAGAATCTGTGTGCGCTCCAGTGTGGGGAACTGGGTTCAAAGCTGACTGTGTGGTCTGAGCTTGCTCCTGTGTCGTGTGCAACACCTTCTCCTCTTGGCTCCCTAAATAGTCTGTAATTTGGCATGGTTTTAAATTTTTTTAAAAAAGATTTATTTGTTTATTTGAAAGTCAGAGTTATACAGAGAGAGGAGAGGCAGAGAGTCTTCCATCCACTGGTTCACTCCCCAGATGGCTGGAGCTGCGCTAATCTGAAGCCAGGAGCCAGGAGCTTCTTCCAGGTCTCCCACGTGGGTGCAGGGGCCAAGGACTTGGGCCATCCTCCACTGCTTTCCCAGGCCACAGCAGAGAGCTGGATCGGAAGAGGAGCAGCTGGGACATGTGAAGCAGCCGGCACACATATGGGTGGGTGTAAGAGGAGCCACAGAGCCCGCCCCGAGTCCGTTTTCTTACACCTCTGCCCCGCCCCTCCGCACTCCACATTATTTTAAGCAGATCCCAGATATCTCCTCACCCATGTGTAAAAGTGATTCTTGGAAAAACAAAGCCAGAATGCCATCAACACACCTAACAATTTATAATAATTCATTCAATGCTAACATTTTCCTGTCTCATAAATGTCAAATTAGGATCTGCTCAAAACCCTACACTGGGGTCCAGCGTGGGTGGGGTGCAACAGGTTGAAGCTGCTGCCCTGCCGTGCCGGCCTCCCAGGTGAATGCCGGTTCAAGTCCCAGCTGCTCCACTTCCCATCCACTCCCTGCTAATGTCCTGGGAAAGCGGCAGAGGGTGGCCCAAGTCCTTGGGCCCCTGCACCCATGTGGGAGACCTGGATGGAGCTCCAGGCTCCTGGCTTTGGCCTGGCCCAGCCCTGGCTGTTGCGGGCATTTGGGGAGGGAACCAGCAGATGGAAGATCTCTCTCTCTCTCTCTCTTTCTGTAGCTCTGCCTTTCAAGTAGATGAAAATCAATAAACATAAAAAAGTCACCAAAATCAGCAGCTAAATACTAGCAAGGCAAATCCAGCAAGAAAAAAATACTCAAAGTTGAGACTCCTCACAGGATCCAAGGTGGCTCGGCGCCTGCAAATTCGTCACTGCAGTTCCAACGCCCTCAGTGACTGGGCCATGGCCAGGGCCAGGGGCTGGCAACTCAGCCCAGGTCCCCGCACGCGGGCAGGGACCCAGCCACCGGGCCCCCCGTCGGGGGACTCCCACGGTGCGCATCAGCGGAGCCGGCCAGGAACCGGGTGAGAGGCGGGCTTCTGGACTGCTGGGCCAAACGCTTGCCCCGTGCCCTTGCATTTTAAAGAGAGAGCAGGCCAGTTCTTGGTAGAATGTTCCCCAACGCGGGCTTGCTTGGTTTCCTTATGAAGAGACTGGATGGCGGTGCCGGTTCAGCCGCGCCCCTGGCCGCTGGGCCGGGTGCTGGTGTCAGGCCGCTCCGTCGGGAAGCTCCTGGTTTGTCCTGTGTGCTCAGGAAGGGTCTTGGGGGGATGCTCTGCGCCTCTGCGCCCGTCTTGTCATCCATCAGACTCTCACCTTCGAGTTTCAGCTCGCACGAAGGCGTCCCGCTGGCGTCCGTCACTCTGACGTTTGTCCAGTTCTGAGTTTCTAACTTTATTCGGTCTACACTCATTTGCTGGCACGCGGTGCCGAGAAAAGACTGCTCCTCCTGACGTGGATTTACGGCTATGGATTTCTGGGTCCTCGTCCCAGTCCGTGCGCTGAGGTTCACCCTCCCAGGCCCGGGGTTTGCCGGCCGGAGTCTCCCCAGGCTTCCGGGAAGTCCTTAATACGTCCTTCCCTGCGGGAAAGCCAAAGGCTCCGGGTTCAGCACCTGGATGGACTCTGCGGTGACTTCCTCTGGGCCAGGCATAATCTGATTACTTCTGTGTGCCCAGTCCTGGATTGCCTGGATTCTGGGTTCCAGTCGAGGGACCTGCGTCCAGACAAAGCACGCGCCCATGAATTCCCGATACTCTTCTCTCACCTCTTCATGAACTTTCTGAACCGCCTGGGGTTTACTTATGCATTTACTGAAAGATGCTCCTGGTTTTTTTTGTATTTCTTTTTGGCAGGTGGGAGTTACAGACCCAGTTTGATCTCCTTCCAAACCGCTGCTGGGTAGTCTGAGCACCAGCGTCACACAGGCGGCTTCCACCCAGTGACTCCCGTTTGTACCCGGGGCTCTGTCTGCTCTCTGTTCATGCCTCAGTACCCCACTGCTTTTTATTTTTTAGAAATACTGATTTATGTAATTGAAAGAATTACAGAAGGGGGGGAGGCAGAGAGAGGGGGAGAAACAGAGAGTGATCTTCCATCCTCTGGTTTACTCCCCAGACGGCCACAACAGCCAGCACTGGGCCAGCCTGAAGCCAGGAGCCTGGAGCTTCACCCTGGTCTCCCACGTGGGTGCAGGAGGCCACTTGGGCCATCTTCCACTGCTTTCTCAGGCCATTAGCAGGGAGCTGGATCGGGAGTGGAGCAGCTGGGACTTGAACCGGCGTCCATATGGGATGCCGGCACTGCAGGCGGCTCAACCCCGCTACGCCACAGCTCTGACATATACTATTTATATATTTTTTAAAGATTTATTTTATTCATTTCAAACGCAGAGTTGGAGAGGGAGGGAGGGAGGGAGAAAGGGGGAGAGTGGAAGAGAGAAAGAGAGAGAGAGAGGGAGAGAGAGAGAGAAAGAGAGAAAGAGAGAGAGAGAGAGAGAGAGACACGGCGGGCTGCGGGCGCCCCCTCCCGCCGGCAGCGGCGCGGTCCCCGGCGCGCTGTCCCGCGAGGCCGGCAGGAGGCGGTGCGGGCGGATCCCCGCAAACAGCCCCGGCCCCGAGCCTCCCCAGGCGCGCTCCCCTACCCCGGCGGGCCCCGCGCTCGGGTCGGCTCAGCTCCGCGGACGCCGGGGTCGGGCTGCGGGAGCCCGGGCGTCGTCCTGCGCTCCCCGCACCTCCCCGCTCTCGGGCTGAGGGCCGGGAGGGACGGTTCCCGGCCTCTGCGGGGTCCGTCTGCAATCCTCCAGGGTAGCAACACCCGCCCCGCCGGCGCAAACACACCCCAAACCCCGCTTTCCCTCGGAGTCCCCGGGCGCTGCCCCCGGGCTGTGGGCCGGGTCCATCCTCCCCCGCGGGCCCGAGGCAGCCGCCTGCCCCTCGCCACCCTGGGAGCGAGGCGCTCCCTGGTCGGAGACCCCAAGACCCCGGACGCCCGCTCTGGGGGACACCGCCCCCTGCATTTTTTTTCTTCCACCCACTTACGGAGGGCCCCGACCTGTTCAGAATCCGCAGGTCCCAGAGCCCAGCCCCGGGAGAGCCGGCTGTAAGGGCAGGGTGACCTGAAAGTCTTTTTGTGGTTCAAATTCTCCCCGAGGCAGAGGCTGGCCCGGACCCTGGTAGAATGCAAAGGCAGGGACACCACTCCCCCGCGGGTCAAGGCGGGTCAAGGGCGGGTGCCCTAGGAGCCATTTCACAGCTTAGAAACCCGCCCTAAGGAAATGCTAAAGGATTTTATGTATTTTTAAAATGTTTGTGTACTTACTTGGAAGGCAGGATGAGCCAGTGAGAGAGGGAGAGGTCTTCCGCCCACTGGTTCACTCCCCAGATGGCCTCAACCTGGGGCTCCATCCAGGTCTCCCACACGGGTGCAGGGGCCCAAGGACTTGGGCCACCCTCTGCTGCTTTCCCAGGCCACAGCAGGGAGCTGGATGGGCAGAGGAGCCACCAGGACCTGAACAGGTGCTCCCACATGGGATGCCGGCACTAGAAGCGCAGCTTCCCCTGCCGTGCCCCAGCCCCAGCCCCAGAGGACGCTGTTTTCAAGGGCAGGATCCTGACTCACAGCACAGCGCGGTTTCAATCATCACGCACAGGACAGTGGGCCCAGAAGATTAAAATGGAGCGGAAATGTCCCTGTCCGTCTTCTGTGTCAGACACACGCGCACGGCTGTGTTAGGGTTACCGGCAGTCCGTGCTGTTCGGGGTTCACCCAGGAGCAGAGGGCTGTGCGGGCAGCGTAGGCGCGCACTAGGCTGCACCACCCGGGTTCGCACGCTTGTGCTCTGGGGTCTCTGTGCAACAGAATCGCCTGACGGTGTGTCTCTCAGAGCAGTTCCGTCATCCAGCAACACGCGCTGTATACAGTGACCGTCGGGGCCGGCGCTGTGCCGCAGTAGGCTAAGCCTCCGCAGCCACATCTTGTGTGGGCGTCGGTTTGTGTCCGTGCTGCTCCTCTTCTGATCCAGCTCTCTGCTATGGCCTGGGAAAGCAGTAGAAGACGGCCCAAGTCCTTGGGCCCCTGCACCTGCGTGGGAGACCTGGAAGAAGCTCCTGGCTCCTGGCTTCAGATCGGCCCAGCTCTGGCTGTTGCAGCCTCTTGGGGAGTGAACCAGCCGATGGAAGACCTCTCTCTGTCTGTAACTTGTGCCTCTCAAATAAATAAACAAATCTTTTTAAACAAACGACTGTGTGTCCAAATTGTATTTATTTAACTGGCTGATTAACGAAGAAACCAGCAAGATGTAAATACTTGTTCAAAGGAAACTCCAAGAACAGACAGGCAGCCAGGAGTGCTGAAGCCGCAGTGTGCCAGCAGGTGCAAAACCGGCACTAGCCACGGGGAGTCAGCTTTGTTGTACAACATTTGTGTTTCCATGGATGACGTTGTCTGTGTGACTACAGTTTTCTACAGCACAGAGTTGTCAGGTAGCTCCAGGACAAGGAAAAGTGTGGACCCTTCTAGAACCTGACACTCCCGGAAAGACTCCTCCAGCCCATCTGCCGTGAGCGTAGGTGGTGCCTGCAGGACCCCCCAGCTGCGAGGAGAGCTGGAGCCCACACCACACCTGCGTCTCTGCGTTCGGCCTCCTTCCTCTGGACCCCGGAGCTGACACCTGGGGCGTCGGCCACCTGTCACCCACATGCTTAGAGACCCCTGGTCTCGGCGGCCTCCGCGGGGCGTGCGGCAGCTGCCCCACCTCTGTGGACGGCCGGTCCTCCCGCGGGAGCCTCCCTCTCTGCAAGTGGTCCCTGGGAGACGGGCAGCACGGCGGGGAGGCACGAGGCCGCTGCGGCTCCGGTCAGCTCTTGGCCCTGGCAGTGTCAGGGCGCTGGAACAGCCGGATGAGGCCCTCGTCGTGCAGCCGCTTCCACACGTCTCGCTCCAGCTTGAAGTCGTGGTTTATGTAGAAGATGAGCTTCTTCCAGGTCTTGTCATAGTAGTGGTCAGAAAAGCGCTCGTGGCCCTCGGTGATGAAGCCGTAGGCACTCACCTGCACGGCGGAGGGAGGAGACAGGCGGCCTGCAGGTGCTGCTCCCAGGGCTAAGTCTGGGGCTAAGCCCCCATATCCTGGTTCCACCCCTGGGGTCTGGGCGCAAGTCCCCTGGGTGCACATGCACCGTCCCACACCCGAGCCCACTCTCCCTCCGGCCAGAGGTGAGCGCCCGCGCAGCGCGGGCCTGGGGAGAGCCCAGAGCGGTGGCAGCGTACCTTGTCACAGAGGTGGAGGGCGGTGAGCAGCAGGAGGGCCCCCGTGGTGGGGCGGTATATTCTCCAGTGGGCCGTGTCCAGGGTCTTGGACCTCAGGAATCTGTGAAGGCACCCAGGTCCCCGCTGTGAGACCCCTGGCGGGACGAGGGGCACGGGGCCCTCCACCTGCCCCCACTCTCACCTGTTCTTCATGTACCGGAGGAAGTCCGGGTGCAGCAACAGGTACTTGTCCAATGTCAAGGCTTCCTTGAATGCTTCCTGGGGCCTGCGCCTGTGGTCCAGAGTGGGTCACTCGGGCTGTCTCTGACCCCGCCTGGGTGGGCCAGGTCAGGGTCAGGGCATGGCCACCTGCAGGCGGTCACTGAGGCTGTGCCCGCCTGTCCAACCCTTGTCGGCCGCTGACTGCCCGGCTCGATCGGGGGGTGGGGTGGGGTCGGGGCAGCGGGTACCTGAACCAGAAAAGGTTCTTCTTCGCCAGCGTCTGATTCTGCAGCAGGGCTTCCAGCCACTCGAAGTCCCGGGTGCCTTCCAGGAAGTGCAGGTAGCGGATGTCCTGCGGGCCAAGGGCAGCGTGCGGTCTGAGAGTGCGGCCTTGGGGCCCCAGGGCTGGGCAGCCCCGCTTTGCCCCTGGGGTGAGCGGAGCCTGGCCCCCCGCGCCCACACCGCGCCCTCTCCGGTCACCTTCCCCACGGGCACGCTTTGGAAACCCCGAGAGCCCAGGATGAGGAGGGACTGGGTCACGGAGAAGGCGGTGAAGCCGTAGAACGAGGTCCGCGTCCCCACGTCCTGCTCGTAGCCTTTGATGACGGCTCCGCTCAGTCTGCGCAGAAAGACAAGCTCCCCCAGGACGTGTGCGTGCAGAGGGGCGGTGCGGGGGTGCGGGGACGGGAAGGAGACGCGGGAGGGCGGGAGGCATATCCCGAACTCTGTCCCCAGCTGAGGCCCGCAGGAGGGGCTGACCGGGGCTCACCGGAACACATAGTCGTGGCTGTCGATCTCCTGGCCCACCTTCGAGTTGTTCAGGATGCCGCCGTTGCCCACCACGGCACACGTGATGCACTGGGAGCCCCCAGGGGGGTTGCTGGCCAGGAGCAGCTGCTGCTGGGGCACTGGGGGGAAGTGGGCCACCACCTTCTGTACCACTGCAACGAGAGGCGGGGGTGAACGGGTGTCGGCGGCCTCCGGGAGGGAGGCCGATGGGAGACAGGGGCCCGGCCGCCCACCGCCCCCTGCCCTGGCGTGTTGGGGACTCACGGGAGTGGTTGAGCTCCATGAAACCAAAGGGCGGCCCGAAGTGCTCCAGGCGGTCCCACTCGCTCTGGTTGAAGTGTCCGGAGTCCAGGAACAGGGTGAGGTTGGGCAGGAAGAGGCTCCGGAGCCACGGCGACCTGGCGGCTCTGACCTTGATCGAGTCAGGGCAGCTCTGCGGGCAGGAGGGAGGGCCAGGTCAGGCCACAGAGGCCAGGGCTGGGCAGGGCGCAGCCCACAGAGCCTGGGTCGCCCCTGCCGCCTGCACGCCCTCAGCCACGGGGCCCGCGATGGCCCCGAGGGGGGAGCCGAGTCCTGGAAGCGTGCGGGCAGGTAAGGAGGGCCGCGGGCGTGCCTGTGCCCAGACCGCTTTTCTAGAAGGCACTGAAGTTGTGGGGTTGGCTTTGCAGGGAGTTCAACGCCTCGGGGATTAGGGCTTCTCTCCCCCTGCCCCAGGGCGAGGGCTCGGGGTCAAGTCCCAGAGGGGGTCTAGGCAGGTCCCTGCCACTTTCCCGTGCCCTCCCTCCTCTCCTGCCATCATGGGAGGGGAGGAGGGGGCTGGGCATGGGTGGGGAGGGGGCGCAGGCTGGAGGGTGGGCTGCTGCCTCCGGGGCAGGGGGGCCTGCTTGCAGGTGTCAGGGAGGCGGTAACGGCTGAAACTCACCGTCTTCAGCCCCGCCGCGTCCATGCTGTACTGTTCCTCAAAATCCCACCGGGGCTCCGACTTGAAGTTGGCGGCCTTCAGTCTCGGGGTTCCCCGTGTGCTGGGGGGCTGGGCAGGGGCTGGGGTGACCGGGACCTTCTTCGCTGGGGCCACAGCCACTGTGGTCGCTCCGCTCTTTCTCGTCTTGGCTGTGGCTGCTGCTGGGGTGGTGGTGGCGGTGGTCTTGGGTTTGCCCTGACTCGGTGGCACCAGTCTCTTGGCTGTGGTCCCTGCCCTGCCCTGGGGCTTCACCACTGCCGACTTGGAGGCTGTCGGCCGCCGCGTGGGGTCCCGGCTTCCTTTGGTCGTCTTTGTGCCCGGAGCCGTCTTCGTTGTTGGTGCCTTTGTCTGGTTGGAGACCCTGGCTGCAGCCTGCCCTGGCGGAGAGACCGTGTCTGCCTCATTCCTGTCTCCTGCCTGACTTTTCGCCGACGCTGTGGCTGCTGGGCTGGGCGCGTGGCGCCGCTGCTCTGGGGGTGCCTTGGTGGGCTCCGTCCTCACGCTGTCTCCCGCTGGGTGGCGTGGGTCCAGGGTGCCGCCCTCTAGCACTGCCTCGGCCTGGGGCATGGCCTTTGGTGGTAACTCTGGAGCTCTCTCTTTAACGTCCTGTCTGTACTGATACCTGCGGACAGAGACGAACATCGCGTACAGCGGGTAAGATAGCAGCCGGGACACCCACGTCCCGCACTGGGGTGTCTGGTCGGAGGCCTGGCTGCACTTCCAAGGCAGAAGCCTGCTACTGCGAATCCTTGGGGACAGTGGTGATGGCCCGCGTGCTTGGGTCCTTGCCACCCATGTGGGAGCGCCAGACGGAGTTCCAGGCTCCTGGTTTAGGCCTGGTCCAGCCCTGGCCATTGCAGGAGAAAATCAGTGTGGAGGAGACCTCTCTCTCTCTCTCTGCCTTTCAAATACATACATTTCAAAGAAAACCGTAACCAGGCGCTGACGTTGTGGTGCGGTGGGTCAAGCCACTGCCTGCCATGCCAGCATCCCCCATCTCAGTGCCAATTCGAGTCCCAGCCGCTCACTTCCGATCCAGCTTGCTGCCCACCTACCAGGGAAAGCAGCAGAAGAGGGCCCAAGGGCTTGGGAGACCTGGAAGGAGTGCCTGGCTCCTGGCGGTGGCCTGACCTAGCTGTTTGGGGAGTGAACCAGTGGATGGAAGACCTCTCTCCCTGTGTCTCTGTCACTCTGCCTTTCAAATAAATAAATAAAACAACAAAAAAAATTTTTTTTACAGGCAGAGTGGACAGTGAGAGAGAGAGACAGAGAAAGGTCCTCCTTTACCGTTGGTTCACCTCCCAATGGCTGCTGCGGCCGGCGCACCGCACTGATCCGAAGCCAGGAGCCAGGTACTTATCCTGGTCTCCCATGGGGTGCAGGGCCCAAGCACTTGGGCCATTCTCCACTGCACTCCCTGGCCACAGCAGAGAGCTGGACAAGAAGAGGAGCGACCAGGACAAAATCCGGCACCCCGACTGGGACTAGAACCCGGTGTGCCGGCGCCGCAAGGCGGAGGATTAGCCTAGTGAGCCGCGGCGCCAGCAAAACAAGATCTTAAAAAGAAAAGCATCACTGGTATTCATTCCTGTGCCTCCGGTCAGCTCCAAAGCAGGTGCAGGGAGGGGCCGCCGGCTCCCAGCTGCTCCCCTGCGCCCGGCACCGCTTCCTGAAGCCGCCCTTGGCCAGCGAAGGAGCCTCGGCAGCAGTGTGGAGTTTGGATGCTGGATTTGGAAGCCAGGACCAGAGCCGAGACGTTTCCTGGGCGCCGAGCCCGCCCCTGGCTTCCTCTTGCCCCCCCCCCCACCCGCCCGCCCCGACTCCGCCTCTCGACTCCGCCTATCGGGACGTGACCTCAGGTGAGTCAGGCCCCGGCTCGGACTGACTCAAGTGAACTCTCTCTCTTTTCTTTAATTTTCAAAGACAGCTCTCACTCGACTTGCTCTGCAATTCGAGAACTGGGCAACGCTTCCTGCTCCTGGAGCACAGGCGATCCAGTTGCATAACCTTCTTCACAGGGAGCGGGACACTGGCCCCACCCGGACCATCGCTGCCAGCCTCCATCCCAGACGGTCCGCCTTAAAGATTTACTTCCAGGGCCAGCACCATGGCGTAGCAGGTTAAAGCCCTGGCCTGCAGCACCGGCAACCCAAACGGACGCTGGTTCAAGTCCCGGCCGCTCCACTTCTGATCTGGCTCCCTGCTAATGTGCCTGGGAAAGCAGCAGAAGACGACCCAAATGCTTGGGCCCCTGCACCTGCATGGGAGACCTGGATGAAGCTTTGGCTCCTGGCTTTGGATTGGCCCAGCTCCGGCTGTCGCGGCCATTTGGGGGGTGACCCAGCAGATGGAAGACCTCTCTCTCTGTCTCTACCTCTGTCTGTAACTCTGTCTTTCAAATAAAGAAAATAAATCTCTAACTTGGCTAAAATGTGTCCAGAGCCCACTCAACTGGCTTCCACTCATGGCAGCCACTGGGGGTGCCAGCCGCAGGCCAGAGAGCCGTGCCAGGGGCTGCCGAGCCCCAAGGGGCGGGAGAGTGGCCTCCCCGGGCAGTGAGGAAGGCTGCCTGGAGGAGTGTCCCCTCCAAGGAACCTGAGGAGCCGGAGGACACAGGAAACACGGGTGCTGGGCTGCGGGAAATCACGATTCCCAGGGTGCAGGCCGGAGGTGTCCCTGCGGTGGGCGCTGTGCGTGGAGGAGAGAGCTCAGAACTCCGCTCAGTCCATTGTTGGACAGGAGCCATCAGAGGATTTTCAGTGGGGAGGTGGAGGTGGTCGTGGAGGCCTGGTCTGACTTCCAGTCTAGAACGTTCCTCCAGCAGTAGCGAGAGATGGGTTCTGACCTCCATGGGTGCTGGCTCCAGGGATTGTATTTACTCTCTTATCTTTATTTAAAGATTAACTTTATTTATTCGAAAGACAGAGTGACAGAGAGAGAGAGAGAGAACTCTGCCTTACTCTGGCTAGGCCAGGTGGAAGCCAGGAGCCTGGCGCTCCATCCAGGACTCCCATGTGGGTGCAGGGGCCCGAGAGCTCCTGGACCATCCTCCACTGCCTTCCCAGGCGCATTAGCAGGGAGCTGGATCGGAAGTGGAGCAGCCGGGACTTGAGGGGGCCTTGTGTGGGATGCTTAACCTGCCGCCCCTCCCTTCTGCTTCTCTAAGTGGCCTTCCTGGGGGGCTGGGGGCTGGGGGCGTGGAAGGGTGGGGTGCTGGGGGCTGGAGGCTGGAGCGTGGGAGGGTGGGGGCTGGGGGCGTGGGAGGGTGGGGGCTGGGGGCTGGGGGCTGGGTGCGTGGGAGGGTGGGGGGCTGGGGGCTTGGGGCGTGAGAGTTTGGGAAGCATGGGAGGGTGGGGGCTGGGGGCGTGGGAGGGTGGGGTGCTGCACAGGTCTTTAGGGAGATTCCTGAGAAAAAGACTTCCTGTGCACACGGGTTCCACGTATCCAACTCCTGCTCCTTGGCCCGGCCTCAGGGGCTCCAACTTCCTCATTGCTCCTTGGCCCCGCTTGTCCTGAGCACCGTTTTGTTCTCGCTGTGTGTACCCGACTAGCTGACGTCACACAAAGGAAACAAGAACCAGCATGCCACAGATGGCGCACGGCCAGCGCCTGCATTGCGTCCCCAGCAACGCAGGCAGCCATCGTTTGCACTCCTAGGACCATCTCCTGGCAACATGGCCTGGAGATGGACGCTCCCTCCTTCTGCTCCTCACCCCCACGGACGTCCTGGGTCTCCAGTGGCTCCCAGGGAATCCTGCACGGGCTGGGGACCTGCTCAGTCCACTCCCGCCTCCTCTGCTGCTGCTAACCCAACCCAACGGCTGCTCATTCATCTCTTGACAGCAAATATTGACCGTACATCTCCCGTGAGCGCTGCTCCCTGGGCCTCGTGCACCTGCTAAGCCAGACATACCCCTCCTGTCTACACTGCCAAAGACACAAAGGGGAGGAGAAGGAACCAACAAACGGCGTGGACAGGAAGGGATGCCTTGGGGGGCAGCCTGACCCAAGCTCCAGTTCCGGCAGTAACGGCGATGCTGAAACCGGACGAGGTGTTCACCGCATCGTGTTTTGGGGGCTGTTTGTCCAGGGCGATGCCGTCTCGTCCCCACGTCACCAGCTCCCAGGAAGCAGATGTCCTGACCTCCCTGGCCATCGCCCCGGCACGGTGCCACACACCGCAGTACTTCCGAAAGGCTTTCTGAGCGCAGGAGGAAGTGGACTTAGAGAAAAGCGTGAAAGGAGGGGGAGACGTGTGTGCACAGTCGGTCCCCGCGGAGGAACATCGCACTCAACAAATGTTTACGAAATGTCTCCTGTGTGCAGCGCCCCAGGAACAGGGCTTGGAATGAGGCAGGGCCCTTCGACCACGGAGGACACGGTGGACACGGTGGTCCTCACTCGAGGGTGGAGGCGAAGGGGATACTTGGTAACTGGAGGAAGAAGGGCCCAGCCCTTGCAACGTGCGAAGTGGGCGGGGCCCCCGCGGTGACCCCTGCTCCTGGCGGGCCTTTACCGCCTTCCGGCCAGCTCTCTGGGCCACCACCACGCTTCTTGGCTTCCTCAAGGAAACTCACCTGCCCAGGCCTTGCAGGAGGGGCCCTTCTCGGTTCTGACCTTGAAACTGAATGAAGACCTAAAGTCCCTCGTGGCTGAGAGCAGAGGGCGGGCAGGGGCGTCCTCACCTCTTCCCTCCCTGGGGACCTGCCTCCCGGAGCACACCCGTTTTTAACTGGTGGAGAGCTGGCTGCCACAGTCCTAAGCTGATGGTACTAAGAGGGTGGCGCCTTGAGGAGGGCCTCAGGCACCAGGATGCGCCCTGGGAAGCGACTTCCTGCCCGACGCTTAGTCATAGAAATCCAGTCTGGTCCAGCTGCTCACCTTTGCCCGCCCTCCGCCAGGCCCATCCTCCACCCTCGCTCGAGGCCAGACCCACAGCACCGCCCAGTCTTGGCCTTGAACCTCCAAAACGGCGAACGAAATAGAATTCTGTTACAGTCGTGAAATGCCAGGACAGAGAGCGCTTCTGCCTGGGTTTAGTGGCCCCAAGAAGTCACCCCAAATGATCGCGACTTCAGACCACAAAGGAGGCAGCGTGGAGCGTGCCCACAAGGCTAATAGCCTTCAAACTCCAGCTCTGCCTTCCGTTTCCATTGAAGAAAAGAGGGGAACAGAGAGTCTCAGCGCAGCCTACGGCAGGAAGCCGTGGAGCCGCTGGGAGATCTGAAGCCGGTCTCTTCCCCAAAGACTTGGTCTCCGTCTGGCCTCTGCTTCCTGGAGTCTTCTTTTAATCTTCCATCCATTGGTTCACTCCCCTAGCTGGCTGCAAGGGACAGAGCTGGCCTGGGCAGAAGTCAGGAGCCAGGAGCTGCATCCTAGTTTCCCACGTGGCTGCAGGGGCCCAAGCACTTAGGCCGTGTTCCACCGCCTCCCAGGCACTGTAGCAGGAACTGGAGCAAAGCAGAGCCGCCGGGACCCGAAGCAGCACTCTGCATGGGGCTGCCGCGTGGTGGGCAGAGGCTTAACCCACCGAGCCGTGACACCGGCCCTGCCGTGTTCTCTGCTCTGCCCATTTGAGCCCGCGTGGGCGGAAGGGGGCCCGGTCCGTGACACCTGTTCCAC